GCAGCCACTGCCGCGGCATTCGCTCTGTATGTCGTGGGGGGCAAGGTTGTGACATGGGGCGGTGCAAGCTTCGGTGGAGACAGTAGCCAGGTGCAACACCAGTTGGGGAATGTCCAACAGATCCAAGCGACTGACCATGCTTTTGCTGCCATTCTTGAGTCCGGAGCTGTTGTGACATGGGGTGATGCTTTTCGTGGCGGAAACAGCCGCCAGGTGCAAGAGCAACTGAAACGCGTGAAGCAGATTCAGTCCACTGAGAGTGTTTTTGGTGCTATTCTAGACTCTGGAGCTGTTGTGACATGGGGATGTGGTGCGGACAGCAGCCAGGTTCAAGAGCAGCTGAAAAATGTGCAGCAAATTCAAGCAACTCGCTGTGCCTTCGCTGCAGCTTTAGACTCCGGAGCAGTCGTGACATGGGGTGATCCACAGGACGGCGGGGACAGCAGCCAGGTGCAAGAGCAGCTGAAGAATGTGCAGCAAATTCGAGCAACTGATGGTGCTTTTGCTGCCACTCTGGACTCGGGAGCTGTCGTAACATGGGGTCATGCTGATCGTGGCGGAGACAGCAGCCAGGTGCAAGTGCAGCTGAAACACGTGAAGCAGATTCAATCCACTGATTGTGCTTTCGCTGCCATTCTGGACTCGGGAGCTGTCGTAACATGGGGTCATGCTGATCGTGGCGGAGACAGCAGCCAGGTGCAAGTGCAGCTGAAACACGTGAAGCAGATTCAATCCACTGATTGTGCTTTCGCTGCCATTCTTGACTCCGGAGCTGTTGTGACATGGGGTCATCCTGATAGTGGCGGAGACAGCAGCCAGGTGCAAGAGAAGCTGAAACATGTCCAGCAAATCCAAGCAACTGGCTCTGCTTTTGCAGCCCTTCTTGACTCCGGAGCTGTTGTGACATGGGGTCATCCTGATTTTGGCGGAGACAGCAGCCAGGTGCAAGAGAAGCTGAGGAATGTGCGTGAAATTCACGGAACTCACTTTGCTTTCGCTGCTGTTTTAGACTCCGGAGCAGTCGTGACATGGGGTGATCCGCATTCCGGCGGGGACAGCAGCCAGGTGCAAGAGCAGCTGAGAACTTTGTAGCAGACTGCGAGGATTTGAATATCGGTGCTCAACACGGAGAAAGGGCGAACACGTCTTGCCTTGGAGCGCACTTCTATTGGGTTGGTTTCAATTGGAAACCAAAAGGAACCCACCCATTTTTGGGAAACTCCGAATCTGGAGACATATGTGGCGTGGCGATTGTCTCACGAATTGTCCTTTTCATCCAGGAATTTTTCAGGCCTGGGTTTTGACTTAAGGGGTACCTCGGCCTTCAAACTACCTTGAAAAAAGTTGGAATTCACCCCATCCCAATATTTGTGGGTTTCCATTTCCAACTTGTGAGTTGGAATTTTGAACACGCTTCGGCTGAACACAGCGCTGGGGCAGGCGGATTTTCCTGAAATTCTAGGGGGTGATTCCCCATTCTTTTCAACCATCGTTCTTTTTAACAACCGGCTGTTTCCCCTGGGGTTCTAATGGTTTGGAAAGAAGGATCCCTGGAAAGAATGGGGAAGTGTCCCCTAGAGAAATAGGAAACAGGGAAACCCAGCAATCGGAACCCTCAAAACTCCAACTAAAAAATTGGTTGTAGCTCTAAAAAATATGGGGTGATCCCATCTCAGAGGGTAGTTTGAGGGTCCATCTATGTAATGTTGCCATTTTCGGTCAACCAACGCCCGACAAAAGGTGCTCACCGCTCAGAATATGAAGAACAAGAACAGCGCTCAGTTGCTTTCAAAGTGACTGGGGCGGGCTTAGGACACATTTGGCCATTTTACCATTTTACTGAAATTGAAGCAAGCAATAAGATATAACTTTATTTTTGTTTACTGGGCCTTAGTCTATGGCGAATCGGCCTTTCTTTTCTCGATTTTCGTGGCAAATGCCAAGCCTATTCCTGATCTTTCACTGCAAGAGCAAGCAAAAAACAGAGGAAGCCTTGCGCAGGGGGTCAAAAGTACAAATGGCTTTGCCGAGCCTTTCCCAGTGCTTTCTTGCAAGCCGAGAAAAGATGCAGGAATGCCGAACCGCAGGCGGGAAGCCAGAGGAAGCCTATAGGAAAAGGGGGTGCTGCTTTGTAGCAAAAAAGGGCGGCTGCTTCCTGCGGCACCGAAACAGGTGCAAGAGGCACGGGTCATGCTTTTCGGTGATCCCTTTTTGTTTCCCTTGAGTTTCCCTTGCAAAAGGCAACACACATGGGTGTGCCAATTTGTTGGAACCCCAAGAATACTGGTTTTCCTGAGGGAAAAACCCTCAGAATTTCGGTTAAACATGGACAACTGCCCCAAGTTTTGGTTGTCCAGAGGCTCCCGATTCATTTAGGGCCCTCAAACAGCCAGGTGTTGAGACCCCTAAACACCTCCGAAGTGTCCAATGGAGGGGTCGGGTCTTGCCATTGAAAACCGAAGCCAGGAGCCTCTGGGTGGTGACTTCCTTGTTTTGGTCGGTGAATTATCTTTTCCCTAGCGATCGCTTTTTGTTTCAGTCACCCTAACGCGATCGCTTTTGGGGGTTTTTGAGTGCATGGAAAAAAACAAAACAACAACGATAAAGCCACTGGATCGATCCAAGTTATTGGTAATTCAAGGGTCTAGGCACCCTCGAGAAAGGATGCCTCGCTTTGGGATGTGCTTCGCTTATGCTTCGCAGCTAGCAAGGCTAGGTCCCCCAGGTGCCCTTTCTCACCCTTTTTTGGGGGAGGGTTCCCCACTAAAATAGACAAAAAAGAAACGGTACCCTTATTCTAACCTCTCTACTGGAGGACCTAGAAGGGAACTCCCAGGCTCCGTGCATGTTGCTTGGTAAGGCCTAGGCAAAGAATGGTTGAGTTTTTGATCCGTTTGAGGTGAGTCTTCCTACCCCCGTAACCACACAAATACCCACCTTTGTTCATGGTATGTCAACCCTTTACCAAACGCGGGCGTTGTATTTACCCAAAGGAAAACCTGGTTCTTGAAAAAAGATACCAACTGAAAGCAGAGATATTTGAAGTAGGTACAAGAACAGAACCTGAAGGGGTACAAAAGGAGCCCGGTGGTTCAAAAAGTGCCACTGAGAACCAAGGCCGGGTATTTGAAAGCGTACAGGCGGGGGGGTGGTGATGTTTTGTTTTCGGCTGGGACTTGAGCGGGTCAAGATTGCCAGCCCCAGGACTTTCTCATCACTGATTCAAAGAGCTGCTCAGACCAATCATCGCGCGTCTTTGTTTAGGGGAACCCCCCTAAATGTTGTTTTTTGGTTTTCTCTTATGGGGTCGACCTGATTGTTTTGCTAAGTTTTTGTGCCTGGAGTCGAAGCCTTCTGAGCCAAAGCAAAAATGGGTTGCCGGCCTGCCGGCCTTGGGTATGACCCAATCTTCTAAGGGTCAGAGGGACACTCCAGGTGGAGTATGGTTGGTTTACCTCAGGTTACCCTTGAATGGTGGTTTGGATTGGTGGTTTGCATTCAGATGCCCTCGATCCAAACCGCCAAAAAGAGGGAGGCTGAAGTGAAAGGCTTTTTTCCTTGCGGCGGGACCCTGAAGAACGGTTGGTTTTACCTGTATTTTGGATTTGTCCCTGGAGTCTCCATGACCCAGAAAAAAATGGGTCAATGACCCCATTTTTTGGGGTGATGACCCCATGTTTCAGGGGTCATGGAGACTCCTGGTCTAAGAATTATGGAACCCCTTTTTATGGTGCTCTTCCTTTTTTGGTTTCCCAATCCAGTTTTTTCCCAAAGACAGGCACGCGGACTCGACTTCTTTTTTTGGGGGGGAAACTCAAAGCGCGTCAGGCCCAGCAGTCGCCCTTGCCGCGCGCGGAGGAGGATGCAGACGCGGAGTGACTCGGCGGTTTTTCCCGAAGATTCCGCGGTGCGACGGCGCAAGTTTCGGGATGCTGACACCGTGATTTTGTGAGCCGAAATGAGATACACACACACATATATGCCTGCGTGCCCCAGCTAGGTGCCCTGTTACCAACTTTTTTTTGGGGGGAGGGTTCCCCTACTAAAATAGACTACAAACAAAAGGCAACCCTTGTTCTAACCTCTTTACTGGAAGACCTAGATATGCTAGGGGTTGATTCCTGGTCAACCATTGTTCTTTGGAAAACCACCTGTTTCAGCCAGTTTTGGGATGGTTTCTTGAAAAGAATCGGATCCCTGAAAAGAATGGGAAGGTAGCCCTAGACATGTATGAATATCCTCTTTTTTTTGGGCGACCCTTCAAATGCACACCTGAGCAGTGCCCAAAACTTCCCAGGCTATTTTAGCACTACGTAGATGCGCCTCCCCGAAGCATTGGACACCCCGCGAGCCCCGGTGTTTGGGGGTCCAAATCAATCGAATTGGAGCCTTTGGGTACCTGGTTTGATAGGGATTTGTAGTAGTCCCTGTTTAAGCCTTACCATGTTAGCAGACCCTTGTGATACGGGTGGCTCGTCATTTTCTGAGGCCAAAGGTACACCGTTTGGTTGGTTTTAAAGGGAACCAACTGGAAAACTGAAATCCATTTTAGGGGGTCCCAGTCTCAACAAAGGACATGCCCATATTGAGTTGATATTCATTCGACGCTTGGTAGCTGGTTTCTTAGCAACCACAGACAACTTCCATTAGACATGTTTGTTGTTTTCGTGTTGGTGCTGAAGGGAATCTATCAACTACTGGATTTGTTTTTGTTTCCAGGGGACTTCTCAGCAGGTGGACAAGCAATCCTTTGGCTGGTGTCGGAATCTCGGGCGTTGAGCGAATCGAGCGATCGAGCATGTACAGTCTGCAGACGGTCGAGGAAGAAAAGGCTCACTGGAGTCCTGACAACATAAAAATAATCACAGATCCCTTCCCAGCGCCCTCCGACTACTGCCCAAACGGCAGTAGATAGAAATTTCCGGAAATAACATTTAGACGGTAGTCGGAGGGTGCTGGTCCATGTGCGTTTCAGAGATGATTAGTTTCTCCTTTGGTTTTTCAAGGGGACCTTGTGTCCTCCTTTTCCAGCGGGATTAAATGATTATTTTCGCAAATGGAGGTAGTTGGGTTGGTATTTTGATTGGTTTGGACTTGAACTGCTGGTTCGTGTGAATGGGAAACCAAAGGTTGAGTTCCCTCTAAACTCAAGCGTCCGCGCGGAAAGCAGTGCTACCCTTGGAATGTAAAAGAAAGCTCCCGCAGGGCGAACTGGATTTGGACGAGTGTTAGGGGGAGTCAAAGCCAGAGACTGGTTGCCTCAAAACCACTCAGAAAAAAGGGGAATTCACCAACCATACCCGTACTTTTGGTTTGCAACATGTCATGTTTAAGGGATTCGTTCGAGGGTCCAGGTTGGTTGTGTAGCCACTTAGCTGTTGGCATCGTGTTAGGCGGTATGCCTCTTGAGACCCCAACACTTGGAGACCAGAGAACAGGCAGTCCCAAAAAAGGCTAAGAGAACGAGTCCAGGCTGCAACCTTGCCCCCTTCTATGTTCAACCGTAAGTAGGTTATAAGTTCTACATGGTTCCTTCTTGGACTGGGATGTTCATTGCCGACGTAAGTATGCATGGGAACCAAGGTTATAGCTGCTTGGTAGCTGGGGCTAGTTGGCTTACCCATGGTGCGTGCACCCTTCTTGCTAACTTTACAGTTGGAGGATCAAGTCTGTATTTTTTGGTGCCGTTCATGTTTATGTTCCGGGGCTGCAAACATCAGGGAGCCTTATCCGCAGAACCACGCCTCAGAGGTGTTTTTTTTCTTGAGAGGGTTCCCCCCATTGGGATTGAAGGGAAGCTTAAAGGAACCGGTTTTTTCGTGTTTTTTAAAAGGGAAAGGGGGGGTTCTCCCATTTGTTACAGGTTTTACCAAAAGGAGGCTACGCCATTTTGGGATGGGTCGCCTTGAAACTTGGCCCAGAATGGTCATGAGATCCATGCGGTTTGCATGTTGCCGGGGTTCGAACCCCAGGGTGAGTCTGGCTTAAAATGTCATAAACCGCGTCATCTTCAAATACCCCGCCTTTTTCAGTTGGTATGTTGTCCACCCCTGACTAATGAAGGGTTTTATCATGGAAAAGCAGTTTAGTCAAAATATACCAGCTAACAAAGCAGGTATTTGGAGTGGGAACCCCCGAAACTCAAGGACCCTACAACATCCCACGGACGAAGCCCTCCATTTACTACCTTCAAACAATCCCAAAACGGCTACCTTTTATAAAGGAATCAACTGGTAACACAAACTGGACATGGCTTGCGTCTCTGCAACCAACCAAGCCACCAGCCAAGCAAAAGCTATAGCATGTTGCACCACCAAGCGGACATACCTGTTGTGCGATGAGTTCCCGGGCAAAGACTTCCAAGGAATGTACCTCACTCACTGAGTGCCTGGACTTTCTCATGTTTAAGGAAAACCGTTCTTGTGTCAAAAGTTGGGGATACTGGCCAGTGCACGCAAGAAGTGAGTTACACATGTGAGCCCGTGTTGCCCTGCAATATATATAGCAAGTCCATCCACGGCAGTTCCCCAGTTTTTCGGGGCTCGCAAAAAACGGACAAAGAACCGCATCACTTTTTGTGCCTATGGCCTCGCATGGAATCGATGCTCGCGGCCGGCGTTTGCTGCTCGCGAGGCAGCACCCGCTGGATTTGTTTTGGTTGTGCTGTGTAGGGAATGTGAAAGCAGGCCTGGGTTTAAGCTTGCCCTGAAGAAGTGCAGTGGAACCCATGTTTGGCCAAGCTTCCCGTCGTTGGGGGTGGCTGACCCCGTTATTCGGGGATCTGGGGATCATTCCGGTTCTCATTCCCTATCGCACCGATCGCAAGTGGGTTTGTCTCTCTCTTGGGCGGAGACCGATCTTCAGGCAGCCCTCAATTGGTGGGTTGGATTGGTGGTTTGCGGATGTGAACCCCAGTTTGTTTCGAAGCCAAACATGGGGCAAGGTGGCTCCTAGCGTCCAAACCACCAAACCACCAATTACAGGGAAGCTGAGCTTTCAAAAGCGCTGTTTTGGAGGATGGTTGGGTCCCTGCCTGGTTGAACAAGGGTATCAAGGCCTGTATAAACAATCCTTTGGAACCATCTCAGCAACAAAAGTGCACGGGTCTTAGGTGCTCACCCTAGCTGAACCATCCCAAGTTTGAGAACTTGCATAATCAAACTCAGCTGAGCCAATCCAAGACTTGAGTGACTGAAAACTAAAGGATGGTCCCAACCACAAATTGGTGCCGCCCCGCTTTTGTCTTTGCATTGTTTTGGGTAGACCATGCAAGTAACAACCAGGTGTTGAGTACGACTCAGCTTTGGTTTTGATCCACTTAAAAGGCCCCATACAAGGAGTCAACCTGTTAATGGATGAAGTCACCCAGGTGCTGTTTCCCCTAACTAAGATATTTTGTAGGTGAGTAGCCCCACGTGTCATTTTATGTGCCCACTGTCATCCCCTGCCGTAGATGACAATACATATGGAAGAATGCGCACGTGGGCAACGGTCCACAAATTCACCGCCTCTGCCTTTCTCATGGCACGCTTACCGATTCAGAGGGCAACACAAGCTCGCTGTGATAGTCAGCGGCATGACGCTGTTTCCACCACGTTGCCACCGTGAAATACACAATATGCTCACCGCATTCTCAAATAGAAGTGGGCAATACAGTGCATGTTGACCATGGCTTGTGGGAGGTTCAAATTGCTAGTTTTCTCCACCATTTGCTTGCGGCATTTGGAGCGCGACGCATAATATTCCCCACTGAATCCAGTCACCATTATAAAGTTCAAACCAGCAAGAGGTTTTACAAGCAACTTGGTCGTCAGTGTTTTTCTTTTTCTGGAGGCAAAAGGAGAGGTAACAGTTGCCCTTGATTCACTTTTCACTACCTGGACCCTCAAAACAGTCATAAACATGAGTTATTGCAACCCAAAACTCTAGCGTGACTTCCAACAGCCCTAGGGTTCAACACCCATCAAAGGCAAGGTTCAATCAAATTCGATGATGCAATCCTGAGGGGTATGCAAAGGTGGTGTATCAACCCCTATGGTTTGAATGGTGGATTGAAAACCCCAGGGAATGTTTCTGGGTGAATTATAACGACCTCACACGACCTCACCCCAAATGGTGGTTTATGTGGGGAATAGCCCCCCAACCACCTTATTTCAGGTTGGTGAAATAGTATAATTCACCCAGATGTTTTATGGAATTGTCCTTTGGGGTCCGGGCATCCTTCAGCTGTGGGTTTCCCCTGTCAGTCCTTTGGAAGGGGTCAATTGGGGTTGGGTCCTCGAGGTATTTCTTGCGCTGGTCCTACCTTTTCTTTTTTTTCTTCTCCCCAGTGCCTGCATTTTGGGAAAAGTCAGGTCCTTTGATTTGGGAAAAGTCAGATTCATCGGCCCCATATTTTTGGGTTGCACTTTACCAACCATTTTTTAGTTGATATTTTGAGGGTCCTGGTCCACGGCAGAGTACCGTAGTGGAGTGAGTCTCACTTACATTCAACCCGTCCATCCGAGCCATGCCAGCTTTTAAACATTTTATATCCTTTTTGAGGAGACGGAAACCAGTCGAAATGGGTCGTCGCTCCTCAGCAACGGCGCAGCCAGCACAAAAGCCTCACGTTTGGGAGCAGCTTGAGATCCATGCGCAAGGGTCCATGTGGAGTGTCAACATAGGACCCATCAAATGGCTTGGAATGGGATATTATCCCATAATTTGGGGGCACATATAACCCATTTTTAAGTTGGAGTTTTGAGGGTTCAGGTCAACTGAATCCTCGTTTTCCGGCCGATCCAACCCGGTTTTTCTCCTTTTGCCAGGTGCGCTGTCCCACGCTTCGCCGGCTTCTTTCCGCCGTCCCCGGCTGCGAGCGCTGCGAGCCGCGGGGCGCGGTTCGAATGACGCGAGGCGCGGTTCGCGAAAAAGAAGGTCTGGAGTCTCTTGGAGTCTCCGGTCATGACCCGAAACGAAAATGGGTCCTGACCCGAATCATTTTGGCCAGTCTGACCCCAGGACTTAGAAAGGCTCAGAAGGAGGCTCTAGCTTGTTATATTGAGTACCTGCGGAAGCCACGTTGACGGGGACAAGTCTCCACTGCCCCTCTTTTGACACTCCCTAAGCATCTGAGGTTAGGCGAACAAGCCATCCTTGAGACCCTTTGAACACGGTTGGTCATGACCCGAAATTAAGATTCGGGACATGACCAACCATTTTTGAAGGGTCTCAAGGAGACTCCAGGTACCGGCCTAAAATCGCCAAGTTGCGATCCTTTTTTCAGTCACTGTCGCGATCGGTTTTTGGGGTAAAGTGCATTGAAAAGAACAGCAACTGGCGATCCAGGGGGACCAAAAAGAACTACCTGAGCCCTCAAACTACCCATCACTGGAAATGTCACCCATTCTTGTTTCCAGGCGAATCGACCTTTTGACCTGGTTTCCCTGATTTTGAGCCCTCAAAAAAGAAGTACCTGTACCTAAAAACTGGACATTTCACCGATGCTTGTTAAGCGAATCGACCTTTTGACCTGCTGGTTTTCCCCGGATTATTTCCAGGTCCTTTGGCCAACTGAGCATTCGTACCCCGACCCTCAAGCCCAGAAGCAAGCTGGAATTCACCAACCCTATAGGCTGTATTCACCCATGTTTAAGTTGGAGTTTTGTATTCACCCACGCAGGGGTCACCCCATTATGGAAGGGCCCAGCCAGATTGAAGTTTGTCATTGGGGTTCACCCTGGGTTCAACTGAGCTTAAGCTTTCTGGGGTGTTTCAAAGACAAAAAGGGAACGTTTGATCGGCCGAAAGCCTCGGTCGAGAAATGCTTTCCGCTTTGAGAGGGGGTTGCAACCCTCTGTTCCCAGAGGCTCCGATCGGCGTCGGCTTATGGAAGACCCGATCGCTCCAGACACCCCGCTAACCGGTGGTTGGGACCGGGTGTCTCAAAACCTGGCGGTTAATGAGGGCCCCAAAAAACATCGAATTGGAGCCTCTGGGTTATGAGATTCATGATTCGATTTATTGCCAAACTGCCTAAGGATGTCATTGAACTTGTTCCTCGAAGTGAATGTAGTTCTTGAGGAGGTCACAATACTGGACACGGAAGTGTCCTTTCTGGCAACCAGATGTGTTTACCTCAAGGTTTGGCCATGGATGGTTTCCGCTGGTTACCTACTTGGTAACTGGAAGCACTGGGCTTGAAATTATTTGGGTAGGCAAACTGTGAAGCAGGGTCTCCCCAAAAGGTTTTGTTTAGTATTTTGTGCGTAGACAGATGTTTTCCTTCGAGTTCCTGAACTTTACCTGGAGTTTTCATGATTCTTAAAAAATGGGTCAATGACCCCATCATGTTGGGTAATGACCCCACTTCCCAAGGGTCATGGAGACTCCAGGTATACTTTTTGGGAAGACACATACAGTGGCAAATGCGAAGTCTGGTTTTTGGCCAATCCACTCAGCAAGCGAGACTATGAAGCAGAATCCGAAGATCTGAAGGTTCTTTTCCAGGTTCCCGAACATGTTCGGCCAAGTGCACCCCCGCCCCCTTCCCCTCCCTATGGGGGGTTGGGTGCCATCGGGGGTGTGGGTTCCGTAGAGAACCCGTTTCGGTACTTAAAATTGGGCAGGCGTTGAATCAAGTAGATTGTTAATCAATATGCGGTATGACACTTATATTGGTAGCTATGGATTAAGGCATATGAGCTACTTTAGATTAGCATTCTACAGCTTCATATTAGTTGAGTTTGTCACATTTATAGGTCTTATCTTAGGGTATGGGTTGCTCAGGGAGCTTTTAGGGAGCCTTTGGGGACTCCATGCCCATGGTTTTCAGCCAACTGACCCCAGCTAGGTCCCCCAATTATATCCCAATATTGCCCTGTTTTGGGCGGGTTCCCCTACTAAAATAGACTACAGAAGAATGTTGGTACCCTTATTCTAACCTCTCTACTGGAGGACCTAGCCAGTTGTCCCAGCTATAAACCTTGGTTATGACCTACCTGGATCGCCAGTTGCGATCGTTTTGTTCCACGCACTCAAAACCGCAAAAGCCAGCAACGGTGACTGAAAAAACGATCGCAACTTGGCTATCTAGGTACTTACTGCTCAGATGCTCCCGGCTTCGATTGATTTAGGGCCCGATTTTACCGCCAGGTTTTGAGACCCCTAAACACCGGGGCCCGCGGGTCTGGGGTCGGGTCTTTCAGTGAAAGCCCCTTCAGCCTCTGGGATAAAACCAAAACAACAACAATACTATTTCGCTAACCATGATTTTGGGGCAGGCAACTCACCCCATGTTCTTTGAGGTTCAGGAATTGGCTGTTTTGGGTACAAAGTTCAAAGACTTGCCCCACTGACCGGCTGGAAGACCCATCCAAGCACGCGGTTTCACTCGGCGCAGGCGCCGGGGTTCGGGGCTTCTGGGGCGCGCGGCGCTGCGGCTGAGCGCGCTGAGCTGCGGCCTTCTGCTGCGCTTGGTCTTCTGGCCCCGGGCGCCCCGGATGGAGCCATTCCGTTGCATGCGATCGGTGCGATGGGTATGAGAAATTCTAGGGGTACCTTCCATGTCCATTCTTTCCAGGGATCCGGATCTTTTCAGAAAACCTCCAGAAACACAGGGAAAACGGCAGGTGTTTGAACAGAACGATGATTGAAAAGAATGGGGAAACAACTGTCGTGGATTCCTTTCTTGGGAATCCCAGGGTTCATTTCCTCATTCCCGGCCTATCACCAGCAAGTTGTTGAGGCGTCCCCCAATTAAAAGTTGGCTTTCCAACTGGTGGTTTCAACACCCAGAAGGTCCTTTCCTTCTGAGGAGCAGCGAGAAAAGGACCGCCTTCCAACCCTTTCGCGCAAGGCTACCCTTTGAAGCCTACGGGTACCCTCAGAAAACTATGCTGAACAGAACCTATTTGGGTGAATTCGCCAAGTGCGCTAACGGTAACCGTTTGATTATCACCCGCTTGGAACCCCCTCCCCCCCGTTCAGTGGAGTTCACCTTAGTAGATTTTCTCACCCGGGTGGCAATGAGCCTGCACATGTCCGGGACCCGTTCTCGCTGTAGGTGTCCTTTGTTTCTTGGATGTTCAACCTACAGTCAGGTAGGTCATAATCATGGCAAGTAGGGAAACTGAGGTTGGTTCCCTTACCACGATTATATCCTACTCTCAAAATTGGGTTATGGCCCAAGACATGATATGGGTTTGATTCCCTTCTTCATGGGTAGTTTGAGGGTCCAGGTACTCTCCTAACGTGGGTCGAACATCCAAGGATCCTTTCGGCAATTTACTTGCATCCAACGCGCTGACCTTGTTGGTTTCCCGTGTTTGGTTAATTGTTTGATGCCCATGAAGGTGACCATTTTTTCTACTGGGCCCTTTGGATTTGGAGAGCCCAAGATGGCTTGTCGTCGACTCGTGGCCTTTTTTTCAATTTCAAGGGTACAAAGGTGTCGGGAAATTTGATTTGATTCTGCGATGCAGGAATCCGCTTGAACACAGTCGTGTGCGGATGGATGTGTCTGAGGTTTTCAGAGACCCCCCCCCTCCCCCCCGGTGTTAAGGACATTTAGAGTCCATTTTGGAGCCAGGACCCTCAAAAGCAGCCAATACCCTAGAAGAGGGTGGTTGCAAAACAAACCCTAGGTGTCCATCATACGGGTGTGGGTCAAAATTAAACCACCAGGGGACCCCAGGTTTTAATCCTGGGTTCCATTTATCTGTTCCATTTTGGGTACCCATTTTTGACCCACAGCCATGCGACCCCTTTTCTCCAGATGGTTGGGGTCGCCCTTCAGACCCAATCCCCACACAATCCCTTCCAGGCAGCGGGGTGGGCGCTCGCTTTTTCTGCCCAAAGAAGTGGGTTGCAACGGAGTGCAACAATCAACGGAGTTCAATGGAGTGCAACGGAGTACCCCCGCAATCTCCAAATACCCACTGGTTTTTTCGGGGTATTTTTTTGAGAAACTTGGGTTTCCATGGCAAGTACCTCGTTTTTTAGTAGAGGGTCAACATCAGTACCCTAATAAAAGATGGTATTTGGAGTAGGGGTACCTTGAAGACCCCCCAACTCATAAGAGCTAACTATAAATGATCGAACAACTCCTAAAGCCAGCACTCGTAGAAATCCTGAAATACATTCAGACGATCCACAGTCCAACTAATCTCTCTACTAGTTTTGATTGTGAGTAAGACTTACTCTTGGTGGTTGCAACAGGCATAGAGAAGGGCCACCAGGGATTTGGTTTCCTTTTGAAGTGCGTTTTGACTTTTGCTTCGCGGGAAAGAGGCAGCCCGCAAAGAAAGGTGGCTCTACAATTTAACAAGCTTCGCAGACTTCTGAGAAGTAGCATTTGGCTGTCGCATGTGGGTGTGGCGGGTTCATGAGTCTCAAGTTGGCATGTTCAGGGGTCTTGGCGGTGCGTAGTTAGGTGATGTACCATGTTGGTATTAGCGCAGGTTGATTTGAGGCATCTGCCCCTTCCAGTGGCATTCCACGCCAGCTGAACACGGCCTTGACTGACTGACCCCTGAAGCGATGTTTCTGGGGGCTGAGTCGGCTGACTCGGAGCTTCTGACACTACAATTTGAGCCTCAAACCAACTTGATTCGGTGGACTTGTTGCTCCAAATACCAGGGGATTTAAGAGGGGGGGGCTTTCTCACAAAGGTGCCCGGACCCTCAAACTACCCACAAACAAGTTGGATTTGACCCACCAAAATTGGAGGAAGTAACCCTTTTAAGTTGGAGATGTACCTCTTGGATAGTTTGAAAGGGGATTCCCTACGATTCACCAACCATAATTTTGGGGCAGTAACTCATGTGTTAAGGGTAGTTTGAGGGTCCAGGTGTCCATTTGAGTGGTATTGTCCACCTTTGAAAGGGAAAGCCAAACGAAGGGGAGCCATTTTAGCCCGAGGAACTGCGGCTTGATCTGCGCGGAGCCGGGAAAGGCGTGGTGGGTGGCTCTGGTGGGGGGGGAGGAACATGGGGAAGCAGATGTTGTGATTTTGGGTTGTCGTGTGTTGTGTTCGTGGTGTTGGTTGTGTGTTGGTTTCTGCTAGTGGTGTTGATTGTTGCTTGGCCGGTTGTTGTTTTTGTTGTTGGTGTTGTTTGATTGCGTTTGTTTGTTGCTCTCTTTTGTTTGTTCGCGGGGCATGTGAACACACGTCGCCCTTCTTGTCGCTGAAAAGACTATCCGTCCAACACGTCTGATTGAGAGCAAGAACAGGTTGTTCATTGTTTTTTAACCTGAATCTGAATCCCTAACTCTACGCTCCCTTGCGGTAGGAAGCATCTCACTACATCAAATCTCTACAGAGAGGTGTTCATTGCCTTACCTTTTCTGACTGACGCATCAACCATCACGCGTCCAATTGATGTGTGACGTTCCATTTCTAAAGAATAGAAATTGCACTGAACTGATGTGGAATGAGTTGTTTCTGAGCGGCCGCCCTTGAGCGGCCCATCGGGATTCTGATTGCCCAAAGTTGATCAATTTAGTGGCGGGTTGCAATGATTCACCGCCACTGTCGGTCACAATTTGCCTGGACGAGAGGCTTTCAGCCCAAAAAGTGCCGAGTTTCCCACACGCCAACCCTTCCGCGGACCTCTTTATCAAGCTTGGATGCGGATGCGGATCCACCCCTGTAGGACACCCAGAGTACTAAGGGTGATGGCCCCGAACTTTCACAACCATTTTCGGGGCCCCGCTGGAGAACCCAGCGAGACCCAATTCCGATTTGGGGCCGAATCGAAAGAGCGGAAACTTAGTTGGGTGTTTCTTTTACCTTGGGTACCCTTGTTGGATGGTTTAAAGGGAACCTGGACCCTCAAACTACCCTTCACCTGATTTGTTTGAAGCAATAGCCCATTTTTAAGTGTATGTGGGTCCAGGTAGCTTTTTTGCGCCCGTTTGGAGGGGCCGAAAAACAAAAAAGAAAAAAGAAAGGGGAAAAAAAGACAAAAACATCAGACCCTGCAGAAGTTGAAGGCGTCCTGAAGGCGTCCTGCAGAAGTTAACCAAAAACCTGAGCACCAACCCCGAAGGCGTCGGAATCCGCGCATCCAAGCCGTTTTCTACTGGGCTCCTTTGACCAAAAGAAGGGGGCAGTGAAGCAAGTGAAGCACGAAGTCTTTCACCAAGCGAGGAAACCGATGCTGCTTTGGGGGTCAAGCCGTTTAGCTGGAAAGTATAAAGAATCCTTGTTTTGCTGCCCCTTTGGGCTCGCTTTTCTCGAAGATTCCTTTGAGAACCACCCGTTGGGGAGATGTTTGAATGGACACCCCGGTAGATTCCACACGTTTCTCCTGTTGTTTGAAGGCGTTTCGCTTTAAAGATCGACCACGAGGGTACGAACTGTAGTTGGTGACCCTTGAGTTGATTATTGTCCACCCTAACCATCATTGGGCCCTCCATTGAAGGAGTCAAGGTCTCCATTGGTTTTGGTTTTTGACCTCAAAAAGGGCCGTTTTGAGGGCCCGCGACCGATGCTTAGGGCAGGTGGGTGTGACATCTTAGCAACCGGAGCCCACGCGAGGGCCTCGAGGGACCGATCACGCGAGGCGATGGGACCGATCCGGGCGCTCGCTCTCCATGGGCTTCGGCGCTGCTGCCCGGCCGAAACCGAATCGAAACCGAATCGAATCGAGCGCTAGGGGTTGATTTCTTGTCCATTCTTTTCAACCATCGTTCTTTTCCAAACCGGATCCGCTTCCCCAGGGCATGGAATATTTCTCAGATAGGCTGATGCCTGGAAAGAATGGAAGTGGAAGGTACCCCTAGCGACGCTGGGCTTTGAGCACGGCGTTTGGGGGGTTCCTCGCCACAGATTCAGGGAAGGAGACCACGAACCATGGGTGATTTTTGTCGGATGGCAACGAGGATTTGAAGCCAACCCTTTTTGGTCCTGTCCGTTAATTTGTGGGTTGGAAGGGGGCAAGTTTGCCCAGCCCAATGTAGCATGCTTGGTTCCCGGGCTCAAGGGTACTTGATGTGGAAAATTTTGCTCAAAGGGTACGAAGATGGCAAGCTTCTTTTGGTGGTCATGAGTTTGGCCTTGAAATCAGCCGATATTTTGTTTCCCCCTATTTCCGTCTTGGTGGGTGACGCGTGATACAAAAGCGAAATCAAGTTGGAGACATCGGAAAGCCTTTTGGAGCAAGACGGGCCACGGTGGAACGGCCGCGTTCCGTGGTATTCTGGGCATCACGCTGTAAGGTGAGAGGTCATGGGAATCAATCTTTGTATTACCGAACGATGGAATCTCCACAACCGCGTTCTTGGTGGTTTCATTTGGCCATCCGGTTTTTCTTAGGTGTTGAGCTTTCGTTGGTTCAGTGGTTGGGTTTCCATGAAACTAAAAGTTTGACTTTGCACAATCTGAGGACAGCCCAGGTTCAACTCAACCCCTCTCTTTGTTGTCTCTTTTTCGTTTCGATTTGAAGCCTGTAGCTTGTTGTGGAACATCTGGTCTGATTGCAAACAGTTGCCGGGCGGGGGTATAGCCAGACAGTGGTCGTGGTAACTTCTTGTGTAGCACGCTTCCTCGACTAACATAGCATGTGCTGGAGGTACTTGGAAGATCAGTTTTCCTCTTCAAGGGATCAATGGTGCTATTGTTTCTTCTGTGTGTGTGTTTTTTGCGGGGGGTCGCCTTTTTGACATCAACCACCCTAAGGGTCATGACCCCGGGACCCAGCACACCCCATAATGGGGGCCCTCCAATGCAGAACAACCCATTTTGAGGATTTGCCCAAAATCAATCGAGACCCTTAGGGCACCTTTTTTGCCGATGAAATCCACTGGAACCCGGTCCGGGCCAAGAATTGTCCCACCAAACCCTTCTGACCGGTTTCAAAATCTTGCCGAACAAATTCTTCAGGAAGGAAGTCCTTGGTGGCTGACTAGTTGAGTGGGCAAATTCGCAGATCTGCTTGCTGATTGGTTTGTTCATTTCAGCCCAGGCCCAAAATCAGCCACAAGATCAGCATCCTTGCAAAATCTGCTTGAGTTAGAGACCTTGGGGTCTTCGGAATCCAGTTTCTCAAAATCAGGGACCGATTCCTCCAGATCCTTGGTTTCCTTCTGGTTTCATGCATGAAACCATCCAAGATTCAAGGTCCCTGCCCCCCTAAAATTATTATAAAAATGGGACTCTTGCAACCCACAACGATGGATGTTTGTGAATTCCAACTTGCTTACACGCAGGTTGTAGTCCTTGTTTCCATATACCAAGGTGCCATTTTGAGCACTCTGAGCCACTTGTTCTCCTCATTTTGATGTACAAGTCAAGAAAACAGGTTCTTGCCACCCAAAATGACGGTGGGTGAATTCCAACTGATTTCTGGCTAGTTCTTTCGGGCTCAGGTTTTTCACTACCTGTGCCTCCCATTTTCCTGTGATTCCCCCCCCATTTTCCGGTGGACGTGAAAGGCTCACGGGTAGGTGAAGGTTAGTAAGGGCCAGCCCCACCCGGAAATAGTTGCGGAACTCCGCCTTTCTGCTTGGTTCTGGGTTCACCATTTTTGTACCAGGTGTTGCTTTTGCGCCTCATGAGTCCGCAAAACCGATTCGGAGACTTGGAGAAAAGGGGACAATCCAATGTCGGTCAGAAGGAGACTCGTAGTCTTGGATCCCATCGCAGGTTGGGCCGCTTCCGCTTCAACGCCTCGCTGCGCCGGATGCGGCGCCTGCTGCGGGCGCAAGAAGTGGAGCTCAATGGGGAGGAGGCGGATGACGAGCTCGGGCGACTCGGGGCGTCGGCGTGGTGGATCTGTTTTTGTTTTTGTCAAAGGTTTAGGGTTTGGGGTATAGGGCTTCCCTTAATTGTTTAGAGTTTAGAGGAGAAGTCAGAGGAGGTTATACATTTGTCTCGGGGGGGCTGGAACCCTAAGTCCAAAAGCACATTTTTACTTATTTATATTTTTTTTTGTGGGGTCACCTAAGCCCTCCAACTATATACCCACAAAAAGATAATTCACCCACCATCATGTTGGGTTGCAAGAACCAAGCCTATTGAATTTCTGGGGTAGTTTGACACACCCGCACCTTCTTAGGTTCATCTTCAAATTGTCCTGGTTCTCAGAATCTTCGTATTAGCCCCCAAGCCTTAGTCGCTTTCCATCGATTTGTTATAATTGGGGAAAATGGCCTCTATTGGGGAATCGGCCCTTGACATTGACAGGGTTGAAAAGTCTTCTACCAATTCGCCAGGTGAACTATGGTCAAAAATAACCCGATGGGGCAATCCATTTTGAGTACCTGGACCGAGCCTCAACATTCCAACTTAAAAACGTGCAATTGCTCAAGTGGTTGCTAAATTGTTTTTTGTTTTTTTGTATGGGGAGTTCGAGGGTCCACAAGCAACACCGATTCGAGTAGCTCAAGCTGAGGGGGTACCTCCATCCATTTCGATGGGTGCAGATATGAGGGCGTTTGATGATCCATGAAGTACCTGGATAGCCAAGTTGCGATCGCTTGTTTCAGTCACTGTTGCTGGTTTTTGGGGTAAAGTGCATGGATAAAAGCAGCAACTGGCGATCCAGGTATGGCTTATTGCGAATTATGCAAAACCCTTTCCAAACAAAGCCCTGTCCACACCAGGTGGACTTTGGGTGCAACCCGGCGCTGCTGCTGCTGGTGACACTGCTCTTGGTGCTTCGACCTGTGGCAGGGCTGCTGGGCCTTTGGCTGCTGTTCCTGCCGCGGGCCAAGGGCACCAAGGGTGGGGCTGAACTTGTGGCTCCCGGAAGTGGGAACTCGGGTGACCTGTATTTGATGGTTTGGATTGGTGGTCTGAACCCCAGCTCCGAAGCCAAAGGAGCAGCGGTTTTTCATCAAATGAAAGGGTTTATGCAAAAAGGGAACTGCGTGTACTTTGCGGAGGCAAGCCTGGTTGAGGGGGTAGCTTCGCGTAGGCTTCTGCGCGCAGGCCCTCGCGTAGGCTTTTCGTGTAGGCGTTTGAACAAATCATGGCTCAATGCTGTTTGCCAAGTATATTGGCCCTGCGTAGGCATTCGCGTAGGCTTTCAAGGCATTTTAGAACCTTTTGTAGCAGCCAGATCCTTCAACAGACGTGGGTTCTCAATTGTATTGCGAAGGTGATCTTGGAGCTGGAGCTGCCAAAACGGCTCTTGTACTGAAAAGTTGCGATTTTCCAGTTGGAGCTGCCAAACTGCACTTCAACACTTGAACTGAATATTTGCCCGCGTAGGTGTCCGCGTAGGCACCTGGAAGCTGATTTGTGCTCGTGTAGGCACCCTTTGCAGCGGCGTAGGCTTGCGGAGGCTTCCGCGTAGGCGTGCAAGTAGTGTATAGGCCCCGAACCACCCAAAAACACTGCTCAAATGGGCAAGGCAATTACCACCTAAGGTGCTGGGGGTATTGTGTGAACGCATCCAAATGGTTGAGTTTGGGAGATGGGGGTGTCCTCAAACCTACGCTCCGGGCGCTCGGAGCGAGGCTCTCGGCGGCAAAGCTCCGCGCCAAGTCCGCGAAGCCCTCGCTGTCCTTCGCCGCGAAGATCTCCGCGGAGGACCTTTGGAGCTGCGCGGGGCTCAGCAAAGCGGCGGGACGAAAGCGGCGGGGGAGTTGTGTAGCATGCGCTGCCGGGCAAAACGAACCAATCTTTTTAGCATACTTTAGGATCCAGGAACAGGCTGAACGGCCACTATGCCAGGCAATTTCCCGGGATGATTTTTACCTCATTCACATCATGAGATTGCCTGGAAGACTGGGTCCGCTTCAGAAACGGGGTTTGAGAAGTGTAGACCCGAATCCCGAAACCAAAACCCAGGAACAAGGTGCAACCTATGGGTTCAAGAGTTTTTCTACTCATTGAAAACCGGCCACCGCGTTTTCCTGGAGGTCCATGGCTCACCGCTTTGGCTTCGCACGCCCAATAGGAAGCACCACTCAGAGGCTTTGGGGATTCCTAGGGATGGGTCTTGTTGCCAACTTGTTTTTTCTGAAGCCAATGTTTTTGGCGGGCATCCTTTTTTTGGTGGTTTTAACGGAATCCAAAAGGACACCCAGCCATTTTGGGGGCGGCTCCCTTCCAAAAAAAACACCCCATGAGGGGGATTTTTGGCTGGTGAGGATGGCCCCTTTACACCCCATCGCCGCGTTTCGAGTATCGAGGCAGGATTTGGCGGTCCTGCGCCAATGCGGGCCTGCGGGACGTCATGCAGAACAGCATCGCAGGCGCGGCCTCGGGTCATGACGAGACCCTGGACCCAATGCACACCCTATGGAGAACCCAAAGCAACCAATTTGAGCCAGATGTGGTCGTCAGTTGAAGCTGCGCCACTTGGAAGAGCCGTTCGGATTTCTTGCAATCTCAAGGAGTTGAAACTTGTTTCCCTTGACCGTCAGGCTCCTTCCGCTCTTGTAAGGCCAGCTTAATCCAGCTTACGTTCGTCGCCCTGGATCAATGCCGAAGCACACGTAGCAAACAGTCCTGCATCTTCATTTGAGCAGAAAAATGTGCGCACAATGGAAAACTGCGCGTTTCAAGAAAAAACACGCAAAGTTCCAAGAACTGCGCGAGGCGTTTTTGGCTGGTTTGGGTAAAGGTGCGGGGTGTGTATAGGCTGGACATGAGCCTGTCGAGCTGTTCAAACACAACTAGGCAAGGATACATGCGCCTTTTCGGCCAGAACTCGCCTGGATGACCCAAGGAACCAGAGCGCATTTTGGCCATTTACTTGCGGAGCGTTGTCGGGAATCGCCTTCAACATTGCCAAGCCTGAGGAGGAATATGGGGTTGTGAACTGTTTAGGGTACCCTGGCTGGGTCTGTTCCAAAGGAAGCCAAAAGGAAACAAAAACCCATTTGAGGGGTTCCCCCGTGTTGACATAAACCCGCGTGTCCGATAATTGTGGGCCCCTCGCGATGTTATGCGCTGTACAGACTTGTTAAGGCAATCCACAAAGAACACCGACTATTTCATAGTTGTTGGGGTCACCCATGTCAGACCATTTTGGTGCTCCGCCAAGATAGCCAAGAGCTGAGATTCAGCCACAGATTACAACCCACTCAAAATGCCCCCTAGGGAGTTAACCCTGTGTTACCTGAGTGACTAACCACCAACACTATTTTGCTGGGCCTTGCAAACACGCAAACCATCCTCGCTTCCTCAGTGGATTTGCCAACCTAAGTCTTGACTTCTGGCCATTAACTTAGTAAAGTGCTCCCAGAAAGTCACTAAATTCTAGGAACTCAGAAATTGAGAAACAAACTTGTGTTGAAACCTTGTAAGGTCACGGTTCCCCATCTGCCGATGGAAACTATTAGACATCTTCTGCCCAATAAACAGGCGAATGCATGCGCACACTATTCGTATTTGCGCGCAATTGCGGATATCCGGATTTTTGCGCGCAAATTGCGGGCTGGCAAGGCGCCGAAAATCGACTAAACTTCACCTATCAGCAACTTGTCTCAACAAAAAGTGTGGCGCAAGCACAGTTCTGGAGCACAATTCTTGCGGGCTCGAGCTATGAATGGAGCCAAGCGGGTTGCTAAATCAATGGCCGCAAAGAGTCAAGTGCAAGTGATAGCTACCAGAGTAGTTTCATCCAAAAAGTGCGCAAGTCTCCCAAAAGTGCGCAAATTCGAAAAAAGAGAGCAACCACACCACAAAACGCGCAAACAAGCATTTGAGCAGAAAAAGTGCGCAAATGAAGATTCAGGGTAAGAGGGGTGAGAAAATGCGCGGCCCAGCACTTGCGGCAACCTCGGACCAAAAAATAACACACACTCAAAAGGAGGTGGCGTGCTGAGCAACTCCTGTCAAGACGACTTCCAAGTATGGGCGACCTCACAGAAACCTGGCAACCACGGCCCCAATGGAGAGCCCAGACCCATCAAGGGCCCAGAAAGAATTCCTAGGGTCTCAAAATTGAGTACCCGTGCACATTACCAAACTGTGTTTACCCTTTCAATTTGTTGTTTTTTCTGTGTTGCCATGTTTTCCCTTTCAAGCAGCAACATGTGCTTGTCTTTTGAGGTCGGGGTCACACGCCCTTATAGTTTGGGTTTTGGACCCGCCGTGATTTATTTTTTTTGCGGAGCAGTCCAACCAAGGATGAGGCGTTTCGGTTGTACTGGGCTGGTTCTTTTCTTGGGGTTGGGATGCCAGCTCTTCGATCTTGCCTCCCCCCCCACCCCAACCCCTTCATACACAGCTGACCATGTCACACGGACGAGGCTCACCGAGTTGGAAAGGCTAGGTCCCCCAGTAGTGCCCTTTTAGCCTTTTGTGGGGGAGATTCGGTTCCCCTACTAAAATAGACAAAACCGAAAAACGGTTGGTACCAACTTATTCAAACCTCTCAAATCTGGAGGACCTAGGCACAGGTCTGGTGCTTCGCCACATGCCGCAGGCCTCATAGCGGAGCTGAGCGATCTCCAGCAGGCCACGTCCTTCGACGTGAAGGGCATCCAGGCGCGGGGTGCCGGGACCCGCCGCCGTCCAAAGCGGAACTTTGAAGCTTTTGAACTCTCATGTGTGGTCTTCATTTAGTGCCTGAACCAAAGTCAAAGTTTAAATTGCTTAGAAGCGTTGGATGTGGGCCAGTTTACAGCTCTTCTTGGACTTTGTTAGGCACTCCTCGGAAGTTGACTTAATAGGGGTCCAATCAGAGAAGCGGCTAGTGACCATGGAGGAAGCAAAAGAACATTTAGGGGTCCAACCGCCAGAGAAGAGGCTAGCAACCATGGAGGAAGCGCGAGAAACACCAGTTCGCAATGGTTGCAGGTCCCTTAAATCAGTTGGGTGAATCTCACCACATACCTCACGTACCAAGTGGATCGTGCCTTGAAGCAGGGGGTCGTTGATTCATGCTTGAAAGGGCTGGCTGCTTTGACGCATACCCACGCACCCCATAAATATGAAGTTCTAATCTATTGTCGTAAAGCATCCTCAGATGCTAGTTTGCATGGGCGGAAGAAGCTCCTTGAACCCTCAAACAACCCATAAGGAATTTCACCACCCATAATTTTGGTTGCAAGCATCAACCCATTTTTAAGTTGGTAGTTTGAGGGTCCAGGTCCTGGTGTTTTTCTTTTGCGGGTGGGGAGGGGGGGGGGGGATTTTGGGGTTCTCCCATGCCTGGGATTTGGTCCCAAAAGCTCCAGGTGTCGCGCGAGGGCATCTTCTTGGATGCCTTGGCGCAGCTGCCGAAGGGCAGCCTGTTCACTTACCGCCTCAGGAGCGACTCTGAGCGGCGCGAGTTCGGAGTTTTTGGTTTGTGCCCGGCTGGATGGTAGATAGATGGCTAGAGGGTCAAAATCCCGTACCCCCAGTGAACATCCCAATCCCCATCAGAATAGACTAAAATGGGTGGTGCACCTACCCCAAAATGGGACCATTGGTTTTGACACACAGCCCAGATGGGAACCGGCTAGATGGTGTGTCCTTTTATTTGAGGGTAATTGCATCCTTCTTTTGGTGGGGTTAAAGGGAAACCAAAAGGAATCGCACAAGTTTTTGCCAGATGGCATTTGCTTTTGTTTATTTAAGGCTAGATGAAGGTTAGTCAGGAAGAATCCCCTTGCCAGATATGGGTGCGGATAACCATTTGAATACCGCGCTTTGTTTATGCCGCAAGTGAGCTATCAGTCCATTCCAAAACTGCCAAGTGGCTAAAGGCCCGCCAGGTCCATGTTAATACCGGACTCGGGAGTAAATCGAGCGTGGGCGATTTCTTTGTTCGTGCCCGGCTAGAGTCTTAGAGGGTCCGAAAAGAAGTCTCCGAATTTGGGCGAAGCGCATCTATTCGTTGGGTAGGAGAGGTGCTTACTCACAAGACTTGGATGTTGAACCCACGAGAGGAGGGCAGGTTATACCTCTCATGAGGCGGGGGGAGGGAGGGGGGGGGGGGGGCCCAAAAAATGCCCTTAATAAGGCCTTATTTAGGGCATATTTAGGGCTTATTTGGGCTCCCTCCCCCCCCTTCCCTCCCCCGCAGCCCCCAAGAACCTCTGGTTATAAGTAGGGCAACTGGGGGTGGTTTCCTTAGGACCATGGTTAATGGCTACAAGCTACGTACCTGACGCGGTTTGAACATCCAAGTTGCGTCGTTTTTTTTGTTTTTTTTTGTGCCAGGGTCCCAGGGGCTTGTGCCATCAGCCAAATGAGTTTTTTTTGGTTTTTGGAGGAATACCCTTCCACATGGTTGGTGGACCTTTTAAGCCCGACCTCAATGACGTCGACAGGGTGGCCAATTAGAATTCATGCCCTTTGGCAGCCGGGATCTGAATTTGGAGCCTCTGACAAGGGAGCAGTGGGCAGAAACAAAGTCTGAGAAATACGGCTTGCATACTGATTATCATCCCATCCCAGAAATGGTTTTTGACGGGATGGTCAGGTTTTAGACAGAACATTGGGAAGCATGTTTGGGAAAAGGATCCCAAAGAGTCCTGGGGCTCAATTTGGATGACGCATCGTGCACCCCGACATGCATTTCAAAAGGGCCATATTCTTGATCCAACCCTTTTGTGATTATTTCTCTTGGAGGTATGCCTGCCCAAAAGAAGGGTTGGGCAAGCCATGACGTATTCCAGGGCTTTTGGGAATTGCCTTTTCATGAAACTTGTTTTTCTTTTTGGGGGGGAGAGTTTTGTTTTCTTAAAAAAAGAAGAAGAACAACACCCAAAAAAAACAATCGCGGGGAGGTCCCCGAAAAAATGACCCACATCCATCCCCACTTGAGCCACAATGAAGACCCGGTGGATGAAATCTAGTAGACGATCCCAATATCGTCCGCAGACCTCAAGACTAAATTTGAATCGTGAACTACTGGCGGTTTCTGAGAAAATCAAAGCCAAAAGCAGGGTTGCCAATCTGCTATGGTCGTTTGAGAGTTGGGTAAAGAAGGGCCCCGTCTTGACGTGGACCCTTCTGTACCGACACCGGACGGGAAAGGTAAAGGGCATGTGTGTCCAAGAATGATTGGTGGTTGCTTTCGTGCTGAACCACCCAAATTTGAGATCCTTTGCTTTGGGGGTTGGTAGGCACGGTCAACAGCAGCTCAATTGGCATGTAAGCAGAGCCCAGAATTCCTCCCCAGAATTAGTTTCTTTTTCTTTTCTTTTTTTGCTTTTTCGGGGTTCCCTTTGTTTTCCACCAACCAGGCAAGAAAAAACATTGTTTTTTTGCTGGGGTCCTAATTCCAGCCCAGAATTATGACCTCGGTCATTGTGGTTTTCGGCTCACCTTCCAAGGAGCACTCAAGTCTGTAGCTGCACAACTTTGCCATCAAAGTCACCCCTCCCTCCCCCCCATTAGTGGGTTAAAGCAACAAAAGAACCGTCCCAGGGAACTACAAAAAATGAGGAAAACCAACCAAGATTTCCCATGTTGGACCTCCTAGATAGCCTGGAGTCTCCTTATGACCGCTAGAAAAATGGGTCCATGACGAACCGATTGTTTGAGGAAATGACCAACCATTTTTAAAAGGGTCAGAAGGAGACTCCAGGTACCCGCTTTGGCTTCTTCTTCTTTTTCTTGAGAGCATTTTGTTTGGCGTGTGTGTGTGTGTGTGTGTGTTTCCACCAACCGGGTCAACCAATTAACATCTTACATCTCTTTCAGCAAATGCGGAGCAAATAGAACAATTGAATCCAACCCAGTCAAGTATCCTTCCCCAGAATTAGCTCCCCTTTTTGTTGTTTCTCGCATGTTTGTTTGGTTGCCTTTGTTTTCCACTCAGCAGGCAAAAAAAGAGGATATTCTTTTGCCGGGGTCCTATTTTTTTCCAGCCTAGCCTTGACTTTCAATCCTTGAATGCTACCACGTTATATTCATATCCTTCAACTGACTAGAGCTTTCAGGTTGGTTCCAAGCGGAATCCGAGGAACCACGAAGTCCATCGGGTCCCAAGTTCCCATTTGGACATCTCGCTCCCTGAGTTCCTGGGCTTGACATTTTTCGCTTGCAACCAAGGCGATTTTCAGCTTTTCACCTTTTGGGTTTCCCCCTGTTCGGTGTCCATTTTTCGTCATGGCTTCCCAAAAGGTCATCACCTTTTATTTCTGGGTCTTTTGGGCAACTGAGGTAGGGAATGAGAAATTTTTAGGGGTACCTTCCATGTCTATTCTTTCCAAAGAATATTTTTCCAGAAAACCTCCAGAAACACAGGGAAAACGGCAGGTTTTTGAACAGACCGATGAAACGAATGGGGTAACAACCCCATTTGAATGGCAAACTAAAAAGTACGGCTACCTTCTTTGGGCCTGAAATCGGAAGTGACTTAAACGACACATACGCGCTTGAAGGTCGACCATGGAATTATTTTTTGCGGGAGGGTGGTCCAAAAAGCGGAGCGGGGGTTCCCGAAGGCGCCCAGGGAGGGTTTTTGCAAGGAGCGGGGGGTTGGTTGCCTAAGACGCCCCAAGGAATCGAATTTGTGGGGAACCAGCTCCTTTGCACCAACACCCCCTACAGGATTTCCATAAGTCAAAGGCCAAAATTCTCAGCCAGGGTCTGCCTTCTGCCCAGGACCGGCATCACGCTGGTGGATGTGGAGGGTACTCAGTGCATCTTCTGGGATGACCCCTGCATCCAGGCTTTCGGTTCTCCAGAGTCCGACTTCTGGCGGTGCAGGATCCATTTTTTTGGACCAGCCTCAACCAAAAAGAACCCCGAGATCAGTTTTGGGGGTTCACCACCTAAAAACAAGCACGTCATGTTCTGCAACACTTGCTCCAGGATATTGAATCTGCCTGGCGCAATTCCTGCAGAAGAGTCTTGCTGGGCACTTCCAGTTTCGGTATTTGTTGTGTGTTTTTGAGTTTCGACACAGCATCGTTTCTGCCAGCAGCACGCAAACCATCTACAAGCTTTTGTGTGGGGGGGGGAGGGGAACTCCCCCACCGCTACCTTGTTTTCCCATAGGATCCTACCTAGCACGTAATCACACCCAGGGAACCCCGAGTTGGCCCCCCCTTTAAAGCCTTGTAATGTCGGTGCCCGATTCATCAAGGGGTATCAAATAATTACAATAAAGTGTTTTTCTTTTCAAAAATATTATCTACCCCCAGAATGAAAAGGGGTGCCTAATAAAGCAGGTTTTCTTGTCTGGAAACACATGTGGGACTCAAGTTTTTTGTCCGGAGTTATTTGTCCGGAATCAACACCCATCCCCCAAACTGCCGATTTCCTCACATATCCCTTGACTTATAGTAAAAGTGCTTAGCCGACACATGTCCAAGGAAAAGTCTGTGGCGAAACCCAAACACTGAAAAAATAGAAATGTTCAAGGGGTACCTAGTTGTGCAACCGTCTCTCCGCCCCTGCCCGATAGTAATTCCCATCTCTCTTCGTTTCCACTAGTTCTTTCTTCTGAGTACCGAGAAAGTCAGAATATCTCTGCAACCAACACTGATCCCGGAAATCGTTGACTTCCTTACAACTCCTTTACATAAAAGCATGCCAATTGTGAAACTGATTTCCGAACAAATCTGAACCAATACAAAGCAAGTACTAAGGCAAAAAGCAGTACTAAGGTAGCACACAGCAATACTAAACCAACTCCAAACAGTACCGGGCCAGCTCAAAGGGATACTCAAACAATTCAAGGCCAGTACTGGGCAGAGAGGACCGAAGACAACCCAAGCAATACTAAACCCATACTACTGAGGTAGACTTAGGATACATGTTCCATCTTACCAGTGACTCAAGTTGAAGAAAAGAAAAGTATACATTCTATAACTGGGCCTAACTCTAATCAGGTCTAAACCAATACAACCCAATACTAAATCAGTAATGAGCAAAGACTTACCAATTTCTCAGCCAGTACTAGACCAATACTAAAACAATGGTAAACTTGGGAAAGGCCAATCTAAGCCCCAACTTGTTTGGCCTGTTTTCTTGGTCCCCCAAAAAATCGTGGGGGTCCTGCATGAATCTCGATGAATCAGTGACCCACATTCACTGTTTTCCACGAGAGGGGTTAAAGACAAACAGCGCAAAACCCACCATGTGTGAGGAGACAGGTCAACACGGGTGTGTCTCCAAATAGGAATCGGCATTTTTTGTCGGATGGTTTTTAGTAAACCGAAGGCTTAGCTTTGTGGTTAGCAACCATGGTGATAGCTCACTTTCCATGGTAGGGAACATTGAGCCAATCAACGCAGTTTTGGCGCACATCACTCGAGTTCCCACGAACCAAAGGGTCAGGTGGAAGCCGAGAAACCGAACTCGAGGGGTGAGATGCCTTGAGGTGGCACCAGCGACCCGCAACATTTGATGGTGGAGCCCTCTAAAAGCAAGAAGGGACAGCGTTTTGACCAGCTGCTTGTGGGATAGGTGTGAATGAATGAACCGGTTTTGGATGAATTCGCGAAAAAAGCAAACCAAATGAGGGATGGCGTCTCAGGGACCCTGCCTATCGAGCAGATCGTGACCTGGCCACGCTGATCTTCAGTTTGAGCTGACACTAAGTGACTTCCATTTGCTGAAATGGATCAGCTTTATCTTCCCTTTTTGATTTGCAAGGGAATCTATCACTGGTAGTACTGTATGTTTTGTTTGTTCCAGGGACAAGCAAATGGAAGGCGACTCTTGCCTCTCAAACCCTGGAAGACTTCGAGACTCGCACATACCGCGCCCTGCCAGCCCTACTGAATCTTGGTGAGCACTCCACGCCTGACATGAAACTATAAAATCCTTAGGTATCGGACCTTTACAAAGCCCAAGACATGGTACTCTCGAACCTCGCACACCCATAGTGTATAATAATAGTGAGAACAAGTATCATGTGTATGACTTTCATAATCATAATCATAAAACATAATAATCGTAATACATATGTAACAAACTACATATATATATATATACATGTGATGTAAAACAAAACCTCTATGATACGATATGATCTGACTTGATGTGGATGTGATATGATGTGTATATATATATATATAGGTAGTTCATGGGGGGGGACCTGACCATATATATATATATGAATATTCCTATATTTATGTGTATACCTACCAAACAACTTCACCCCATGAGAAACCTCCTGCGTCGGCCTTTAGGTGGTTCCCTGTCAGGTGAAGCCAGGTTGGCCTCTGCCGGACTTCTGGGCGCCCTTGGGGGGCTTCGCGGGCCGGCGCCTGCCGCCGGAGCTGCGGCTGAAGAGCCTGGAGTGTCAGGCGCCGGATGGAGAGCTGAAGGGGCGAAAACGCCGGGGGGCTCCGAAGGAACGAGCCACGAAATGGATTTTTGTTGGTCTTGTCTTCTTCGTGGAGGGGGGTGGGCCCCCACCAAAAAGCAACTACCAAGAACAGAGTCCAAGGCCACGGGGAGTTTAGGCTACCCAGAGGCTCCGATCGGTTTCGGCTTTCAATGGAAGACCCGGCCCCTCCACTAGACACCGCGGAGGTGGGGGGTCTCAAAACCAAACTAAAAAATCCGGGCTCCAAATCTGGAGGTCTGGCCATTCGTTGCTTTTCAGAGTGCTGTATCCTATCTTATCCTACGTATCTATCTATCTATCTATCTATCTATCTATCTATCTACCTAGCTACCTATCTATCTATCTATCTATCTACCTACCTATCTATCCTATCTGTGTGAGCTTACCCTTGTTCAGGTCGTGGCTATCCCCAGCACTGGTTTGGGGATAGTGGTTTTGACCCTGGAAGCCGGTGAACAACACAATTTCGCCATGTTCCACACCTACAACTCCAAGAGGAGCTTCCAATGCTTTTTTTCGCAGGCAGGGCAAGCTTGACCCCTTTCCAACTCCAGCAAATTGACAGGGAAGTCATCTTGGCATAGAGTTCCCTGGACCCCTTCGAGAGCTGTTCCGGAAATCTTTGGCCCCAGATTTCTGGGGCACACAACTACTTGTTCAGCCATGTTCAGTTTACTCCCTGCAGAACTAACATGGAAGGAACCCAAGCGCTTCCTCTATGGGCGTTCTTTCAGTTCCTTTCATGTTACTTCAGGCATTTGGCTCGCAACCCGGTTCCTTCTGCCGGCCCGGTTAGGCTCCAAGAGGAGATGCTTTTAGGAAATCGCTCAACCCGGGTGTTTGGCCATTGTCCTAGAGAACGTCCTCGACCTGGACCCGCAAACAACCCAACAGCTAGATTGCAGCCACCATAGCAACACAGGTCTTAGTTGCTAGCTCTTTCGGGTCCAGGGAGACGGCTTCTTAAGGCTCAGCTCACTGCCACGGAAGTCCAGCGATCCCTTGCAAGTCGCGAATGGTGTCTAGAAACAAGTAAACGTGTACCCGGACCCTCAAGCTACCCAAACACATATTTCACAGTTTCGACAATTTTGGGTTGCAATAACCCTTTTTAAAGTTGGAGTTGTAAGGGTTCAGGTACATGTACAGAGTAGTTGTGTTTTCCCTTGCCCGCAAGAATCAACCATCCAGCAAAAACATGTTCGGGATTTGAGTATTCGGGAAGACAGTGTTTGTTGATCGTTTTCTGAAAAGAAGCCAAAGGAACCTGAGCACGAAAAACTAGTCTACACCCTTAAACACAGGTTATTATCCCAAATTTATGGTTGGGGAAGTTCCCCCTTTTCTGAGTTGTTACCTAAAGCCACAAAATACTCTCAAAAAGTTGGAATTCACCAGGCCCATAGTTTTGGACTGCATTCCCCCATTTTTAAGGGGGAATGTTTGGGGCTCACCCGGGACTTGGGAGAGTACATCCCCCGGAAGCTCGGCTCGTCCGGCGCGTCAGTTCACCCAGGACGGCCAACTCCTGGTGGAAGGTCGTCTTGGAGGTTGGGAAGCGTCAGATGTTGTTGGGAGCGTCTTAATGTTGACCCAGGATTAATGAACCCGTCCCATTCTGACGGGGGGTGTTCCAACTCCAAAAGTGGTCTGAATCCAACCACGAAAAACTTTGGTGCATTTTGCCTGGCTGTTAGGACTTTAAAAACTTTTTGCCAACGATTTTGGGTTTTCCACTAAACCACTAAAAGTTATTCACTTTTAGCAGGGCACTGAAAGGAATTGGACACCTTGAGCCCCAGGATCCTTTGGGGACAGGTGATTACCGGTTGAGCGACAGGCTTATTGCAGATCTCACTAAACGCTTCATCTGTAGCAAGGGATGAACGGGCTGAGGCAAGCAAAAAAACACCCATTCATTTGTTTGTTTGTTTTTACCGTTTATTTTTTGGTTGGGAGGATTGCCCTACTAAAATAGACTACAGCAAAAAGGGGTACCCTTATTCTAACCTCTCTACTGGAGGACCTACCCTCCCTCCCACTAACATGGCAACTGACGAGGGGTCTCTTCAAAAGGAATTTGATCTTCCAGGTACCTCCCTACAGGTGCCATGTTAGTTGGAGGAAGCGTAGGCTGCTTTTCCTTTGCAACTTTGCAACTTTGACAGGCAGCGACGGCACGGCGATTGTGCTCAGACGGCCCGTCCCTCAGGGGTTCCGACCGATCTCGGTGTGGTATTTGGCCTGACAAAAAATACCGAGCCCACTTTCTAGGGCAAATTTCTTGGACGACTCGATTTTTGCAAAAGGCAAAGATACCTGGATCCTCAAAATTCCAACTCAAAGGGTTATAGCCTCAACATTATGGCCCTTAAGGGTAGTTTGAGGCTTTAGATACATCCGTTTCTACCCCAAGGGTCATCTTTAATGGACTTCCCATTGCGACCAAGTCCGCAGGGGCATCCCAAAAGCGTCGGTTGTTTCGGAGCCCCCAGAAAGGGACTGATGTTGCACGCCTTTGCGATCCTTTGCTCCAGTCAGGCTTAGAGTTATCTGGGCGTGGCTCAAAATTAAACAGCTAGGGCCAACCGCAGGTTTTAGTCTTTGGTTCCATTTGCCAAGGTGCCATTTTGTTACATGTTTTTGAACCACAGCCATCTACTGGTTCACAGCCATCGCAGAAGTCTATTGATTTCAGCCCCAAACCACCCCCAGGCCGAAACCGGGTGCCCAGCCCTCGGTGGAGTAACTACATGTCTAGGGGTTGAGTCTGGGCTTTGGACCTCAAAGGAACTTGGACCAACCATTTTTTAAGGGTCATGGAGTCATGGAGACTCATTGGTTTTGGTTTGCCACGTCCTAGTCTTCCTGAAATTCGACCTGAGCTACACACCCGGGGAGTTGTTTGGGGAATCATTCACTGGGCGAAGAAAGGGTTGAACCCTACTGTGGATGGACGAAATCCATTTCGCACCACCTAAGAGACCCTGGAATGATCATTCCCCTGCAAATGCCAGCAAAAAATGGTTTCCAGCAGGATTTTGTCCATCCACAGTATGTTCCGCGGTTTTGGCCCAGTCAGCCAAGGAAGATATACAAAACAGGTGAAATTCCTGATTCACTCGAACATCAGGCATGAACACCATGGACACTTGCCAACAGCACTCAGGCATCACACTTGTCGGCTTGTCACTTGCCACACGCACCAGCCACACACTTGTCAGCTTTCGGCAACGTTTGCGACTTAAACTGGGTCCACTTTAGAATGAGATCCTCAACGTTACCGTCGAAATGATGGTTTTAAGGGCCGTCCTACCCTCCAAACAAATATGAATTGCTCTCTTAACCTTAGTACAAAAAAAGCCTTCGACAAAATAGCAGAATAAAACCCAGAAAATATATATATATATATATACACAGCTTATAAAAATATACGAAGGCCAAAGCACGTCCTCTAGCAAAGCTAAGATAAACATCCGGAAAACGATATAATTCCTGCGCCATACCCAGTTGCCAATGTCGGATGAGTGGCAGCTGGTGGTTGTGGGCGCATGGGACAACGAAGCCCCGCGTGCAAAGGAGAACGCCGAGCTCCTGGCAACGTTTGCCAGAAAAACTGGTTTTTGCTCGAAGCCGGTGGAGTTTATTGCATATGTCGGCGAAGAAGTGGAAAAAGAAGAGAAAGACAAGCTGAAGCAAGATCTGATAGATGGGCTCGCAACAGCAGCTCGACAGATGAAGGAGTGTAACATCAGCAAGCTGATGGTCTACTTCGCAGGCCATGGCATTTCCGATTTCGACCAGGAAGATGTGACAATCAGCCCAGATCTCGGCATCATGCTGGAAGACGAAGTCATGCGTGCCGTAGAGCACGAGAAGCTGGAGGATGTATGTGCCATAGTTCCTTTCCTGCTGAGTTGATGGACGTATGGTCCCATTGGCACCAAGCCACTACCCCATAAGAAAAGGGGGGCACCCCTTCTTTGCATGATTGGTGCAATCAGCGCATATGCACCCTTTTCCTTTGAGGCGATGGTTTGTGGATAGTGGACACCCTTGCAGATTCAACTGTTTGGCGCCTGGTTGTTTCTTTTAGTCCCAGGCCAACCAATTGTTTTTTGTTCTTTTCTTTTTTCCCTGGCTGGATCAACGCAAGTCAGGTGCTTTTGGACGCCTGCAGCTATAGGGAAGTTGTGGACTACGATGATTATGACCCTGCCCCTGCTGGCCCATGCAATGGCAACGCGTATGAGTACGTCTACTGCTGCGAGCATGGCCACCCTGTGAGGGATTCGAGTCTCGTGCCAGCGGCATTGATGCATTTGATACAGGCTCATCAAAGCGACTCTCACTTGCCCAAAAGCAACTCCTTTTGACCCGATCTATTCATCAATCGATTCAGTCATGGTTCCTGATTAGCCGTTTGTGTGCAGGTTCTTGCTCCGGACTGAGGACTTTCTCATTGGGAGTTTTCTGAATCGTCTGAAGATGCTGCTGAAGCACCTCACGATGGGCCGGATCAAAGTGCAAAGTACAGAGAGTCTCTCAGGCGAGCAGAAAGAGCGGCAGTTTTTGCCGGCTGGGCTTCGAGCTGAGCCCTTCGATCGCGAGGACCCAGTTGCAACCAGTGGGTGCTCACCCAAAGGGACACCAACAGGAGATGCATTTTTTTCAAGCCCTATAGGGCCCTGTAGGCTCCGTTTTGGCACCCAGTAGTTCGCCAGCCCTTTACCCTGCTTTCGCAATTTGGTGGAAGGGTTTCTTTTCCATGGCCACGCGAGGAAGTCATTGTCATGACGGACAAACACTATCGCGCCTTGGAAGCCAGCTTCTGCATGTACGGCCATCTAGACTGCATCGTGGATGACACCTATGGCACAGGAGTGCTTCTTCGGGAGATGTTGGAGGAGACCAGGGGGCCAACCCCCCTGTCTGAACATGCTTCAACAATGTGGGTAGGTCTCAAAATATGGGTAGCAGACACAGACATGGCAACGATGTCCTTTTTGTTCCCTTTAAACACCAACCAAAGGAAGATCCACTTGTTTGAGAAACTTCCAAATATCCTCCTATATCCTCCTGTTTGTGACGGTGTTGTACAACCCAGGAGACCGACTTGATGCTACAGAGGAAAAAGCCACCCTCCACGCGAACGCTGCGGCACCTCATGCCACAGCTTCGACAGATAGCGGAAATCTTCTCTGAGCATAAGGATCGCTTCCTTTCCGACTGGGAGCTAGAACTTGAGGTGGCCATGTGCACCTCGTTGGAAACAGTCGAAGCAAAGCTCACAGATGTTGTGACTCAGAGCCCCAGTCAATCATCCAGGCGGCCACGGATTCCAGACGCCCTTCGCGCACAAGTGCTCAAAGCGCGACGCAAATTCTACCTGGAGCATGGCAGAGAGGGTCTGATGAATTGGCGTCATGTGAAGGATGCCTCTTGCCTAATGAGTTGGCAAACTTCTTCAGAGCGAGGGAGAGAGGAGAGAGCGCGAGAGAGAGAGAGAGAAGAAGGAATAATGGGTCAAGGCATGGATGGGTCAAGGAATCATCAAAAAACTGGTGGTGCAGGATTTCGTCCATCCACAGTAGGTCGGCAATTGGGGAAGATGTGGGGCTACCAAACAGCCAGGAAAATTGTGTGTCCCCAATCCCTGCTCTCTCCCAGACCTTGCCCCTGCTTTTTTGCATTTCGACAAGCAACTGACAGCTTGTGTTTGTCTCCAACCAACTTTGCCAGAAAGGTCTTGGACATATTGGCAAAATACTTCACAGAGTTGCCGGGATCGGCAGCATTATCATATTCGCTCGAAATGGACGTAACGATCAACGAAGAAGTGGAGGGAGGGACGGAAGTGGAAGAATCAGCAACATATTCGCTTCAATGTGCAAGTGACAAAGTGGAGAGAATCGAACAAGTCGAAGAAATGGAGGGCGGCGGAGAAGTGAAGGGCGGGGAGGAAGTGGCAATCAACGACAAAGTGGGGGGTGGCAAAAAAGTGGAGGACGGCAAAGAAATGGAGGGAGACGCAGACGTGCCGGCCGGCGACGAAGTGGTGATCAACGACAAGGTGGAGGGAGGCAAAGCAGCGAAGCAGACAACAGCATTATATGCCATCTATAATTTTGCAATCTATGGCATAAACGCATCCTCAGTACCAGAGGAACGACTCGAGGCCCTGCAGAAATGCTTCGAGAAGAACAGTGACTCATACCAAAAAGAGTTCCGACTTTGGATTGGCAGTGGCAGCCTTTACATCATGCTGCAGTGTCCGAAGCTCGACCACAGGACCTGAGTTTTCGACCTTTTGCCAAGGGGGATTTGTTCTCAGCAAGCGAGCAAACAGATACCAAGACGTTCAACCAAAAGTCACCCCACTGTTGTCTTACAGCCTACTTGACGCACTTACTTGCCAGGGTTATGCGCCGGTTGCGCTGGATCAAAGGCAAAATCATGCTTGTTCATCGTACCTTTTTAGCAGTTTCCTAGCTACCTGCTTTCGGTAGATCATATACAACAGCTTTTGTTTGCTTGAGTTGGTACCTGAGGCGATTCCTGGTTTACCTGGTTGTTTAACCATCTTCCAGGGACGTCCATCTATTTCCTTCTACCAGGGACACCTATGTCAACATTCATTACATTCATTCCCTTCCTCTTTATACGACCTGGGCCCCTTTTCAACCTGGGGGTTGGGTACCTCAACATTCCCTTGACAGGACCTTCCGCAGCATCCGCAGCCAGCTGGAGGCTTGGACGCAGGAGCTGCGGCAATCCCGGGCCGCTTGGCACGCCGCACGGCTGATGGTAGTGCCGCGGGCTGCCGTTCCAGCGGGGCTGCTGAAGCCCGGTTTGCAACCAGTGGGTACGGAGCCTTCTTTCTCTCACTTGCCCAAAGCGAATCAACCTTTTGACCTTTTGGTTTCCCGTTTTTTGGTCCATTTTTAGTCATGGCCCCAAAAGGCTAACCTTTTTTTTCTGGGTCCTTTGGGCAACTGACTTCTACCCGGACCCTCAAACTGTCCTACAAAAGAGAATTATCTCCTCATTTTGGGGCAACGATCCATTTTTTTGGCAATCCAGGTACTGGTTGAGAGGGTTTCAATGCAACATCATGCAGCATCCCGTTACAGTTCCCTGGACCTTTGAACTACAAATAAAAAGAGGAATTCAACCATATGTGTTGGGCAATGCATTTT